TTCAGATGGGCCCAGGGTAATCACTAACAGATGGGTCCTGAGAAGCTGAGACATTCCTAACTGTAGTCACAGGGAGATGTCACAACCGAAAAGTGTCAGAGAGCAGCGCCGCTGCCATTCTGGAAGACAGAGGGACCGTGAGCCAAGAAATAGCAAAAGAAGAAATAGCAATAGAAAAGGCAGTGGGAAATGGACTGTTCTGAGGAAATTTTGTTTAAAAATGCAGCCATGCCAACATCTGTTTTAGCCCAGTAAGACCCGTGTTGGAATTCTAGCCAACAGAACTGTGAGATAATAACTCTGTGATGTTTGAAGCCACTCTGTGTGATAGTTTGTTACAGCAGCAGTAGAACTGTTATACTCTTGCCTTGTGGAAAAGAGAGTTCATGAGTTTTTTCCCCTTCTCCCACAAGATGATTTGCTGTATAACCTTAGATAATAGGTTGTTTCCATAGGTCTGAATTATTACATGAGAATGTGTCCCATATTTAGCACTCTACTAAATAATATAAGAAACTTAATGTCTTGGATCTTGCTAGCAGAGTTATATGATTGATAAGATGCCACCATTTGGATCTTTGAAGCATACAAGACAGACTCCGGTTTGAAAAAATTTAAGAGAGAACCATCACCATAAGTAGGAAGTTAATTTTCTAATATTCAGAGTACAAAGAGTGTATTCTGATTCCCTGCCAGATCCTGTCATCAACACCAAAGTGTCCTTTGAAGTCTCGGAATAAAATGAGCTGTTGAAAAGGTGACACCAAGGCAGTGTCGAAGTTTTTACATTTCTCATCACTCTTCATCATAACGGAGACCACACAATGGGCTGAGATGTAGTTGGTTTCTTTGCAGTGGCAGTGTTTCTAGACCTAAATACAATGTGACATTTGGGCACTGGCCTTTGTAGAAGTCTTTTGGGAAACATTCCACCTCCACAAACAATGAACACCACACATCATTATCAAACAAAGTCCTCCTCATTGCTGCCTGGTCCACTGACCTGGCAATACACTGGCTGATAGGATACAGACAGTCTAGGAAGTAGACTAATGGGCAGTAGAAGTTTCTTAGTTGATGAAATCTTTTGATTAAAAAGAAATAATAAAGCTTTAGAAAAAAAAAAATGCTTTGGAAGACTCAGACCTCCATAATAAGCTTGAAAGCAAGTCTCTAAAACAGTATTTGAATCCCGAAGAGCCACGCGATGGATGAAATTAAACCTGCCACTTGACACTGTGTTTGTATTCTTTCCAAAGTTGGGCTGCAGAGTGTCACGGACTCCTCCCAGCAGTGCAGATGCAGTGGCATAATTCCGCTCCTGTGCTCTGGATTCCTACAAACCTTACTAAACTGTTCCTGCACCATGAGCTGAAGAGAGGCGATCAGAACTGACTGCGTAGTGCAGGCTCTGACTGCTGGGATGAAGAAAGAGTGAAAACCACTTCACTCTCAGCAACCAGAGATGCAGGGGCTGACGTGGGGCAATAACGTCATCCTGCTTATTGTGCAGAGACCCCAGTAAGAAAGAGAGGGGTGAGCAGGGGACCTGATCGTGTACTGATCATGTGGGTTGATGGAGTTGGACAGCTGTGTCCCCAGTCTGGGAAGGCCTGTGGGGTTCATATTACTGTCGCACCAGTGTCATTCAGTGGGTGAGTGGATTAATTGCGGTGCCTTAATTCAACTGTCCTTTTTCAAATAACTAGCTTTCTTTTTTCTTGGGAATTGGCCATTTTTCAACTAAATTGGCCAAAGGTATTTAGTTAGGAGTGCTTTGCACTCTTTTCTTTTTTTGGTACCAGGGATCAAACTCAGGACCTTGCACTTGCAAGGCAGGAGGCGAAACCACTGAGCTAAGTCCCCAGCCCAGCCAAAGGTATTTAAACATCACTCTTAATGGTGCTACCATTAACCTAAAATTTAGCAGAGTTGTTACGCTTTTCTTAATACCGTAAGCATCGCATAATCACTGTTGAAAAACAAGAAAACAGAGATATGGGGAAAGAAGAAGAAGGAATTGATGTTCCAGTTACCCAGGATAGCCACTGTTAATATTTAGGCAACATTCTTCCACACAAATATACATATAAACAGATTTCAACAAAAATAGTATCATACCTCACAATGTGTATAAATTCTTCATTTGCTAACTATTCATTATTTCTGTATCAGCCATCTAGGACTTCATTTTTGATGACCAAATATTATTCTATTGTATGAATTTACCAGAATTTCTTCAATGTGCTGTTACTAGACTTTAGCTGAAGTTTGTATTTTTGTTATTACAAATAATAAAATGATGAACGTATTAGTGCATGTAGATTGCATTTTTCAGTTATCTCCTTAAGATAAGTTCTAGAAACCTAATTACTAAGTTAAGTTATGAAATTTTCTTGAGATTCTGATGCTTTTCTGTCATTTCATCTTTGAATAGGAAGGAAAATATTAAAATCAGAAAGAATGAGATCATTCAAAAGCTTTAAATCAGTTTCAAAAAGATCTGAAATATTAAATTAAGACATGAGTAGAGTAGTTTAATTTGAGTTTGTTAAACCATTTATACAGACATGCACAGTTTGGGTCTATGTGAGTGTCATTAAGTTCATAGATGAGCAAATGACATGATTTTCTAAAGAAAAGGCAAGGACATTTAAATATTATCTTGTATTTTTGTTAATAATTCCCAGGAATTAAAAAATTAGTAAGAGCAAAATTGAGATATAATTCACATATCATAAAGTTTACACGTTTAAAGTATATAATTAAGTACCTTCAAAAAGAAATGCTGGGATAAGGGTACCTCTACAGGATGGGTTACAGTTCTGAGATGGGGTACAGCTCCAGGATAGGGGTAGCTCTAGGGTAGGGTACAGCTCTGTGATGGGGCACAGCTCCAAGATAGGGATACAGGTCCAAGATAGGGGTATGGCTCCAGGATAGGGGTACAGCTCTGGGATACGGTATAGCTCTGGGATAGGGTACAGCTCCGGGATGGGGTACAACTCCGGGATGGGGTACAACTCTGGGATGGGGGTACAGCTCCAGGATGGGGGTTCAGGTCAGTGGCAGAGCACCTGTCTAGCCTGGGTGAGACCCTGGATTTGATACCCAGAATTGCAAGAAGGAAAAAGAAAGGCTGAGAAAAGAAATGGGGGGGAGGTGATGTCACTGTGTATAGAGTTTCCCCCAATCCTGGAGAACACTAATCTTTTTCTTTACATTTGCCTATTGTTGACTTTCCACATAAATGGAATTCTACCATATGTGACCTTTTGTGACGATGGGCTTCCTTCACTACTGGTGTTTTCAAGGTTCATCTGTCATGGCGTGGATCAGTACTTCATTCATTTTATTGCAAAGTAATATTCCACCACATGAATGGACCCTATTTTATTTATTCATTCATCAGCTCATCCTGTGGATGTCAAGTAAAATCTTGTCGCGATCATGCCTCACATCCTTCATAGCTCCTCACGCTGAGAAGAAGGGCAGAAGAGGCCCATCTTGGTCTGATCTTGACTGGCCTTTTGGCCAGATCTTCAGCCATGCTCCCAGCCCTTCCACACCCATCCTTCCATCGCCCCCTTCATAGCACAACTGCAACAATTTCCCAAGGGTGGCAGGTACTGCTCTTGCAGGTGCTGTTACCCCTCTCTGTGCTCTTTCTTCTCCTTAAATGTGCGGATGCCTCTGGCTCATACCTTGGGCTTTAGCTGTCAGATAGCTCCTCCTCTCAGAAGCCCTGGCACCCAATGTAACCTGGGTACCACATTTCCTCCCATCCGTTTTACCTCTCATAACAGGGCCGTGCTGTTTTGTAATTGGGGTTTTTTTTCTTCACTTCTATTCCATGAGATCGTGAGCTCACTGAAGTCAGAAACTGTTTTTCATTTCTCTGTTGCTAGCAATCAAGGCCCAGCCCATGGTAGACGTTCAATAAATGTCTCCTTTGTATATAAGATAAATAAAATCAAGTTGACTTTTTATGAACTAAATCAATTTAGGGATTTATAAGTATGTAAACATAAAATGTATTTGAAATGTACGTTGAGCTGGGCACAGTGGCACATGTCTAGAAACTCGACACGTGGGGATAATGCAGCTGGAGTCCACAAGTTCAAGCTCAGCCTGGGCAATCTAGTGATTTAGCAAGATCTTGTCAATAAAATAAAATGCATAATGGATTTTTCTCATGTTTAATTTGTTCATGTACATTTTATGATAAAATTCACAATAACTAACTCATTAAAATGAGCCAATATGAGTATATAATATTAGTAAGGCTTTTGAAGTAAACATCGACTTTTTTTAATCTATCAAATTGTTAACATTTTCAATGTAGAATAACTTAAGACAAATTCAGAATGTATACAAAAGACGGTTTGCAATCATATTTCAAATGATTTTTAAAAGAAATAGTTTAGGGCCGGGGATTTAGCTCAGTGGCACTGCGCCTGCCTGGCAAGCTCAAGGTCCTGAGTTCAATCCCCGGTACCAAGAAAGAAAAAAGAAATAGTTTAAACTGGATGTAGTGGTGCATGCCTATAATCTCAGCACTCTGTGAGGCTGAGGTAGGAGGTTGCACATTTGAGCTCAGCTTGGGCAACTTAGCAAGACCTTAGCTCAAAATTTTAAAAAGGACTGGGGATGTAGCTCAGGGCAAAGGCTATGGGTTTAATCCCCAGTTCTGTAAAAAAAAAGAAAAAAGGAGGAAGGAAAGGGAAGGAAGAAAGGAATTTTTACGAATGCCATGAAGTCGATTTATATATCAAAGTTTCACTTTTAAAGATGAGCTTTTTGTACAAGCAAGTATGTTGGTTTCCTTAAACTTGCCTTGAAGAGAGTTGTCTTACTTAAAATACTACAGTGATTTTAAAGCCGACATGTTTAAACTTTTTAAAACCAGTTTTCACTGTGTTCTGTGTGAACTGAAATGTGTTGAAGTAGCCCTCATTGTTGGTAATGGGATCCTAACCTCTGTTACTTCTGACTTATAGGGTATCTTTGTTACTAGGGTCCAGCCTGATGGGCCAGCATCCAACCTACTACAGCCCGGTGATAAGATTCTCCAGGTAAGACAGATAACAGTGATGCATGCAAACTCTGCGTCTGAGATGAATTTGCCTCCATGTTATGAAGCTAAATGGTTTGAGTTAAATGATTGGAGATCATTCCTTGTCACATTTCCTATTTGCCTTTATTGTTTCCGAGTTGAGAGACAAGTCAGAACCAATTCAGTCTGACAGAATCCAGTGTCCCTAGCACCTGACACACACAGTACCTGGCGCATGATAGTGTTCTGTACATTTTTGTTGAGTGGAATGGATTACTTGGGCATTGTCTTAGTCACTTTCTTGTCACTGAGACGCACAATTGTGTCTTACACTCACCAATTACAGGAGGAGAGGTTTATTGTTTTACTCACAGTTACAGTCCATGGTTGGCTGACTCTGGGGCAGGAAGCCATGGTGGAAGGGCCTGGAGGAAGAAAGCTCCTCACATCACGGTGGTCAGGAAGCAGAGAGAGAAGGGAGGCCCAGGGAAGGTGATACACCCTTCCAGGCCACACCCCCAGTGACCCACCTCTTCCTACCAGACCCCACCTCCTAACAGCAAGTCACCTGTATCTCCCCATGGCTCAGCCACCTTCCAAAAGCCTTGTCTACGAGCACGTGAGGGGACATTCTCAATCCAACCATAAAGCAATATAAAAACAAAGTATAGACACACACATGAACTTATGCATAGTTATTAAATAAAAGTAAGAGTAAGTGCGTGCCTAGATAGGGTATCTATGTGATGTCAGATGAAGGAGAAGGGTGGGTCCAGCTTTGATTTGTCAAGCGTGTGTTAATTTAAGCCTCTGCGTATCAGAAAGGGCCACTCCAGGAAACAGTTAAATGCCTGGCTAACCTTGTCCGTTTTGCTTTCTGTTTCCTTCTCTCTGAATTAATTTCCCATGTCACGGGCAGCTTATCATTTCCTACAGTTAAGGGAAAGATTTTTAAATATTGTCAGTGTATTTAAGATCCACTACTTTGACCTCAGAAATTTCCCACTACATAAATAGATGGAAATTGCTGATATTTTTAGTTACTTGTAGCAATTATGAAACAATATACTGGAGATGTAGAATTTAGATAGCTGAGAATGCGGGACATATAGGGGAAAATCTTCATCAGGTCAGTTATAAAAAACAAGAATAACACATAGAACCTCTCCACTCAGCTCTGAGGAGATCCTCTGCCAACTAGTTACTGAACTTCCTTGGAAAGTTCTAGAAAAGTAGAGCTCCTTAAGAGCCCAATATACCTATATAGCAAGATTGCTTTAACTTTTTTTTTTCTGGGAAACGTTTTAAACTAGCTAGCAAACTCATGACAGGCTACTCACCTTTTCAAAACTGATAGTGCTCAGAAAAGACAAGGGGCTCCCCCGAGCTGCGACAGTGTCACCATGAAATACCACCAGCCCAAATCCTCCAAGGCAGAACACAAAGACAGCGAGGTAGTCTTTTGAGCTAGAACATTGCAACAAAAAAGACATGCAAAATACTCCAGCATTTTTCTTTGCTACTATATTACAGAAGTTCTGTGGATTTTGATAGCCTACCTAGTTGTGTGATCTTAAAACATTTTACACCAGATCTATGGGCCTCAGGTTTGTTGTGTGTAAAATGAACTGTAGTTTGTATCTGAGTTCCTTCCCAGCTCAAAATTTCAACTGTTTGATAATTTTATGTGTTGTAAAGGGAGTCAAGAGTAAACCAACAATATAACCCCCTAACACTTGGAAATGCTGCTTATTAGCAAAGGAAATGGCTAGAGTTTCTTTCTCTTCTTCCCCCACCCCCAACTGAATTTCAAAGAAATTAGTTTGAATCTTAAAATCTGGGAGGGGAATTGTAGCCAGTTAATCTCAGACCCCTGTCCTAGCTGAATGCCAGGCTGAGTGCAGAACCAGAAACCTCTATCTCCGGGCAAGGACGGAGCGAGGCCTTCAGCCATGACTGAAGTAGCGAAAGAAAGATTTTTCTCTTCTGCTTAGATTCAGAAAAGAAATTTATACAGATGCATCATAACAAAATTATATATCCTGCAGGTGGAAAAATAAGTAAATATCTATTTGCAGGGTATTCTCATACTCTTTCCTGACTTTGAAATTCTACAAGGGTTGTGTATGCGGACAAGAGGTTTGGTGTTTCCCACCTCAGAGGTTTATGGCAGTAGGAAAATGTACAGAGGAGTAGATTCCTAATGTGATAAATAGGAAGGAATTATAAGCTCAATTAGTTAAAAGCCATGGATAACTCAAAAGAGCTACACCTAGATCTCTCTTCTCCCCACAAAAGACAACAGAGGAGATGCCATTTTATGTTTGCTGCAGAACTCATTTGTATCTAGTGCAATAAAATCAAAGTCTATTTTCAGTAAAAACAAAAATACATAGAGCTTAAATAAATTGCTGTATTCACAGCTTCACTCATGGTAGTTGAAAAGCAGAAGTGGCCAATTATACGGTCCGGAAGAAGTAAGAATGGCACATTCATTCTGAACAGAAACTGTTGCCTGTGTCACAACTAAGGGAGCGAGCTGTATTTTGGACTCTTTATAATACTGTTGACTCTTGGTCTCAGGAATGCTGAAGAAAACAGGTTAGCAACATCGAGTTTTCTAACACCACTAAGACCTGTATGATGTGTTCTCACTTGAGAACCTTTCTTTACAAAGCTTCATGGCAGTGAACACCTAGAAAGACAGGAGAAAAGGAACAAAAGCGACAATAAATGCTGCCCAGTGATGCCTGTTACTGGGCTTGATGTAACCTAGCAGCAAAGAGACATGAAATAGCAAAAGAGATCCTTTTCCCAATTCCTCCAACCCAAAATATATTCAATCAAGGCTTTTTTCTGACTTTTCGCCATTCTTACTGAGCTGTGGTGCTGTTGCCATGTTATCTGAATTACATGAAGATGTGTGCATGAACAGATGGAGGTGATTCAAGCAGCCACGTCATTTATTTCCCTAGCACAGACACTAGAATTCGTGAGCGTACCCAAGCGGCTTGGCTGCTTTTTTGCCTGAAGACGCTGGGGCACGTGGAAAGAGCCCTGTGTAGGAGAACTGAGCCCTCTCTGCCTCACCTTCTGTAAAGCTGAGTTATGTAAGAATGAGAGAAGGAGCACATAGATCTTTAAAAGATATTCTTGGTTAGAACTATGTAAATTTGCCAATATGAACCCACTATCCAAATGGCAATTTTGTTATCTTAACATTGTAGTTTCTTCTTTCTAATGTTATTTCCAGCTTAAAAATGCAATCTAATTCATTATACTCCTTACAATTCAAATTACGTTATTATATAAAATATATTAGTTATAGTTATTCTGTTGACAAGATGGCCAGATTGAAAAAAGGAATAAATTCTACCTGATAGCGAACAATACGATTTGCAGTCATACCCTAAAGCTCACTTGTAAGTGTATTGTCTTCTGTTCTATCAGGGTACTTGCTCCTACCCCTAGGATTTACCTAACCCTTCCCCAGCACAAGCTGAACTTTGGCAGGAAAAGAGAAATTAAAAAATTTATAGAGAATTAGTTAATGATATCTGTATTTTACTAGTTACCAAAACAGATGATTCCAACACAAGACATGTAAGTATGGTACCCAGCTGAAGGTAATTTTATAGTCTCTTCCACTTTAGCATCATTGTAAGGGTTTTAGAATTAGTAATCCAAAATATATTCCCGACCTGTGACTGCATTTCCAAGATATCTAATAGTCAATGTGGTAATAATTCAAACAAACCAAGTATCTATTTTTTCCCCCAGTCTTAAAAAACTTCGCCCTGTAACTGACACAAGTAGTTTAAAAAACCACTGTCACTCAGGCATGGTAGGGCACACCTGTAATACCAGCCCTTGGGAGGCTGAGGCAGGAAAATCACCATGAGTTCAAGGCCATCCTGTGCTGCAGAGTGAACATACTGAGAGCCTGTCTCAAAAAAAGAAAAGAAAAAGAAAAAGAGAAACCATGGTCAGAAAATAAGTCTATCAACGAGTAGGACTATTAGCAGAGTTATAATCCTTATGCTTTTTTAATATAGTTTTTTGTTAGCATAGTTCCTTGGATTTTTGGTTGGTTGATTGGTTGGTTAGTTCTTTTTTTTCTCAGTAGTTGTTGATAAATTTTTGGGCTCGTAGAACCCTATCTTGGCCAAAATCATGAAGTTTGATTCCCACTGGGCCTATTATGTCCCTGCTCTGCTCCATAAGCACTCTGCCTCCTGATTTGTGTCTTCTGAGAGGATGTCAGAGCAGCCCCATCATAAGACAAGAGAAAATTGAGTGCACCCAAAGGAGCTCGTGGCTCTGAATGGATGCAGATCTTTAGAAAACTGGGTATTTGATTTTGTGATATGACTAATAGGTGTGTAGCAAAATTTTTTAAATGAAGTAATTAATATAAGAAGGTATTTCTTGGGATGCAGAAAGATTGGCTCCTCACAATAAAAAAAAAAAAAGATGGCAGCCCCTCCTCCAGTGGCCTCGCTGCTGGGAGAGAGAGCGCTGGGCGGGAGAGCCCAGATATCTCTGGGGTGCAGGGGAGAGAAGGAGATGGATGCCAGGGGACGGGGTCACATATGCGGGGGTCAGACGAGGGAAGTGAGTGTAGCCTCCCCTCCTGGGAGTCTGAGGGAAAGGCTGTGGATGGCAGCCTGGGGCCCTCAGATACTGGCGGGGCCGTCTGTTCCACCACTCGCCCGCCGAGGCAGGCCCTGCTCCTCTGGACGGGGGCCGGGGTCCTCGGCGATCCCTAGGTGCGGTGAGCCGCTCACAGTCATGGGTTCTGTAGCCTCAGCTCTCGGGGACAAAAGCAATCTGCATCTAGGAACCCACGACTAAGGGAACGATGTCCTTGCACTACATCGCCTGCCTTTTCCCTGTAAGAGAAGATTGAGTTCATAGAGTCTTTGCCTAGTTTTGCAGACACCAAGGGGAAGCCTTTGGGCCCAAGCACATTTCTAGAAGCAAAAAGACAAGGCTGACTGCCTCATGGTGCAGAAAGAG